CATAAATCTGTTTATGTCCTTGAACACAGAATTTAGGTCTATTCCACTTCCTGATGCCTCTTTTATCAATCTGTATGTTCTGAATTATTTGCTCAGCTTGCTTTTGTTCATTATAAATCTTCATTTGAATTACCACTAATAACACAACAGAATATATTGTTTTGAGATTTTATTCAGACTACCACAAACCTAGTATAGACTGTGACTACTAGTATTCATGCTTATAAAGATTTATAATGAAAAGGAGCAAGCTGAGGAGTAAAGGAATACCAGTCTTGTGTTAGAGCTAAATCCAGTGTTTGGTGTTCAAAGAGATAAACAGATTAAGAAATGGACTAAAGGGAGTGGTAACCTCAGGACAAGATCCCACCCAGCTAAGTTCCTAACTTGTGAAAAGGAATTAAAGAAAAGCTGGTTCTGGAGAGATGGTTCAGCGGTTAAGAGCACTGGCTGCTCTTCCAGAGGGCCTGAATTCAGTAACCAGCAACCACATGGTGGCTTACAGTCATGTGAGATATGATGCACTCTTCTGGCATAAAGCTGCATAGGCAGACAGAGCACTCATACAAAAAAAAAATAAATGAATAAAAAAAGAATGGAAAGGAGGGAAGGAGGAAAGAAAAGGAAGAAAGGAAGGTAGAAAGGAAAGAAAGAAAAAGAGACAGACAGAAAGAAAGAAAGAAAGAAAGAGAGAGAAAGAAAGAAAGAAAAAGAAAGAAAGAAAGAAAAAAGCTTAGAGCCAATTGGTGGCTCACGCCTTTAATCCTTTAATACGTCACTTGGAAGGCAGAGGCTGGTGGATCTTTGAGTTTGAGGCCAGCCTGGTCTACAGAGCAAGTTCCAGAATAGCCAAGCTTAGACAGTGAAGGAAACCATGGAAAACAGAAAGCTGGTGACACTGTAATTGAATGAGGGGCCATGTTCTAGCTGCAAGAGAAAGTGTGTTGCAGTCAACAAAGCTGAAAGGAGTTGGAGATCTGGAAAGTGTTTTAACATCAGACATGGAGATGCAGAGTTTGGAGTTTGCCTAGTTGGTTTTTGGTCTTGCTTTGGTCCAGTATTTCCTCTCTATGTTCCCTTCCTTATGTTTGGAATGGTAATATATATCCTGTGCCATTATGTGTTGGAAGTAAATGATCTGCTTTTTGAATTTTATTTTACAGGGGATTACAGTTAAGAGATTGTATGAATTTCAGAAGAGACTTTGAACTTTAGACTTTTAAATAAGTCTGAGACTTATAGATCATGGGGATTTTTGAAGTTGGACTGAATGCATTTTTGCACTGTGATATGGCTACAAGCCTTTGGGGGGCCAGGAAGTTATATTAATGCTTTGAAAGAAAATGGCCCCCAAAAGGAGTGGCACTATTAGGAGGTGTAGCCTTGTTTTAATAGGTATGGTCTTGTTGGAGGAAATGTGTCACTGTGGAGGCAGGCTTTGTGGTCTCATATATGCTCAAGATACCACCCAGTGACTGAGTCTAGTTCCAGTTGCCTGTTAGTCAAGATGTAGGACTCTCAGCTACTTCTCCAGCACCATGTCTGCCTGCACACCACCATGTTATACCATGATGATAATGGACTAAACCTATGAAAATGTAAGCCACCCCTTTAAACACTTTTCTTCGTAAGATTATTATGGTCATGGGGTCTCTTCACAGCAATAGAAACCCTAAGATAGTATATTTATAAAGTTTATCATTGGTCACTTTAACTTTAGAGTTTAACCATGTCAAACCAAAACTTTGTTTTAGCCACTCTCCCAGTACATAAAAACAACAGAGTCTAATTTTTATATCCATGTTGGCACTGTTTTTTCAAATCTTACCTAAATGGAATCATTTGGTTGCTTATGGATCCTGCACATGATCCTGCATTAAGTAACTTAATACTTCTTTAGGTCTTTTCTTTTTCTAAACGTATGAGTTACCCACATATGTGTAATTGTCTAGTCAGCTAGGGATTTATGTAAACACTATTAATCCATCTGTGGTTTTCTCATTTCCAGAGTATCTCTTGACATTTCTGGTTGGTCCTCTACTGGCCTCATCCTGACTTGCAGGCTCAGTCTTGATAACCTAGTTTTCCATTGGTCATTTTGTCCAGTCCACTATTTGGTTCTTCTAGACCAAAGTTACAGGTTTACTAGCATGAACCTGACAAAACTCTAGCTCTTTATTGAACAGGGGATAGGAAGGATTGAGGCAGAGCTCAGCCATAACTTCTTAAACTCAATGCGAAGGGCATAAAACTTGTCAACAGTAAAAGGTTTGCAAATGTGAAATGGCTAAAAATTCAAAATCGAACAGCAAATTTGGAGTGTTTCTGCCTGTATTGTGTTGTGCAGCTTCACTGAAGCCCACTTGTGCCTGAATGTCATCTAAAAGTAATGATAAAATTAATCAATGTAGATATATTGATGAAAGCATGGAGATAAGTTGTCTATACATATTTAGTAATTATAGTGCAGGCAGTTGCTTCTTCAGAAATACTTAAGATACAGATATGGTGGTACATGCCCATAATCTGAGCTACTTGAAAGGTTGATGCAGACAATTGGATGCTGTTTGTTTTGTTTTTTAGGTGGTATCTTGCTATGTTTCCCAAACTAACCTTGAGTTCAAGCAATCCTCTGTTGTAAGGAGACCGCTTGTTTGTTTCCGGCTGCTCAGCCCCGAAATAACCACACAGAAACTGTATTAATTAAATCACTGCTCGGCCCATTAGCTCTATGGTGTAGGAGGTCATTCTGACTATATGTTGCTTTCATTGGTTGAATCAAGAGACTGCCTTGGCCTTTTGATAGGACAGAATTTATGTGGGTGGAGTAGATAGAACAGAATGCTGGGAGGAAGAAGGCAGAGAGAGGGAGCTACCCGCCATGAAGCTGCCAGGTTAGACATGCTGAATATTTCCTGGTAAGCCATGGCCTCGTGGTGTCATACAGATTATTAGAAATGGGGTGAATCAAGATGTGAGAGTTAGCCAATAAGAGGCTAGAGCTAATGGGCCAGGCAGCAATTTAATTAATACGGATCTCTGTATGATTAGGGGGTTAAGCTAGCCCAGCGGCCAGGAGCTGGGTGGTGGGACACAGCCCACCGCTCCATTTACTACAGCTCTAGCTTCTAATTGGCTAACTCTTCATATTATTTAACCCATCTCCATTAATCTGTGTATTGCCTCGAGGCTGTGGCTTACCAGGTAAAGTTTCGGCATCTATCTCTGGTGGGGTTACATGGTTTCTCTCTGACTCTGTCATTTTTCTCTGAGCATTCAGTTTAGTTTGCCCCACCTAGCTAAGTTCTGCCCTGCTATAGGCCAAATCAGTTTCTTTATTCATTAACCAATAAAAGCAACACATAGACACAAAGACTTCCCACACCATTTCTCCTTTTCTGTTTAAACAAAAAGAAAGGTTTTTAACTTTAACCTAGTAAGATTACATATTACAAAATAGGTATCAAGTAAAAATTACGGTTATAATATTTATACCTACTTTATCTTTTATTATAACTAAGGAAGACTATAATAATAAATTTTTCAACTCCATCAAAGACTCCAGAAGGATATAATATTTTCTAAGTAAACAGGAAGTACATTGTAAGCAACTTCCAAACCTCTAGAATTGAAAGAGACATCTTCCTGCCCAAAGTTCTTCTATATCATTGGGGCATCCAATCTTCAGCTCACAGGTCCATAGTATCTAGCAGACTTTCCCATGAAGCAGGAAATTTCAAAGACAATTCCACCTATATTGGCAGTTTGTCAGTCACTTTCGTCTGTGTCCTGCAGAATGTCTGAAAGACTCTTTCATGAAGCAGGAACCCCAAAGAACTGTGTCACCTTCTTTAGGCAACTTCAGCAGTCATTTTTCTGTGGATTCTGCATGTCCAGTACATATAGCATAACATCAAGCAGTCCAGGCAAGAGCAGTTTCTTGCCAAAATGGTTAGCAAACTCCATAAGGAGTTTCTTCAATGTCCATCATCCTCTTGAAGTAGATTGGTGCTGCCAGGAGCAGATGAGTCTCATTGTCATGAAAAGTCTAAGTTCTTAAGAAATTTTAAATGCCATATTTTGTAGTCTTTGAAAGGTTTCAAGTTATCTATCTAACTAAAATAAATCTCTATATATCTAGAAAACCTAACTAATATGACTACAAGCTTGACTATTATAAAGGACTCTCTATTAACCTATATTATTAATTATTCATTACATTTTAAATGAGATACACAAACACAATACCTTAATCAAGAGCAGAAATATACATATAAGAAAATTGACCTTAAATTTGTATCAGTAGACCAAGATTCATACCAATGCAAATCTCTATTATATCATATCTCCCTTTAAATATAAACAAACATATACAAACAATATTTGAAAATTTGGGCATGTTGTCTTCAAACTGCTTCCTGCTTTTTATTGGGTAAAGTAATTTTTTGAGTGGGTGTTCACAGTGACCTTTTAAGGGGTCTTGGTCCATCAAACTATATTAGTCTGGAAGGATTCCACAGGTTCTCATCCTCTGTGGAAACAAAAGAAGAACCTCTTTTCCAAAGCGACATATCCTTAGACCCAAATTCTGAAATCAAGATACCTTTATGTTGGTTTATCTTTGCAGTCCATACAATGAAATGTCTCTCTGTACTTAGCTCCTTCACAGTCAAAAAATTCAAAGAAGACACAATAATATACATAATCCAGACTCTGTGTAACCTTCAAGCTCCCAATCCTATCTCAGCTGCCTGAGAGCTGAAATTACAGCTATATCAAGGCAGCCAAAATTTTGAATATTTGAAAAGAGTTGGTAACTTAGAGCAGTGGACAACATTTTCCAGTATTTGTTTTTCAAAATATTTAAGTTTTAGGTGTTAGGGAAAATATCTTGAAATAAGCATATTTTAATATTTTGTACTTTATAAGTTTATAAACATTGCATATTAAAACTAACAAGGGCAATTTTTTTTACGTTGTGTAATCTAATTTTATCACAGGTTTCGTCTTGATATCTATAGATGTCTAGCCAGCCCAGCTCTAATAATGTTAACAGAGGAGGATCCAATCCTGAGAGCATTTGAACTTAGTGCTGACTTAAAAGAACTCAGCCTTGTGGAGGTGGAATTCAGGTGGGGAAGAATGGATGTCGTTATGTCTTTTGTTGCAGAATCTTCTGCTTCAATCTGTTTATAGGATGCATGATAATTTGCATTTATTTACAGTTAATCTAAGATGAGTAATGTTGTTGCCATTTGGAATTTTCTTTCTCTGTCAAAGTAACATGTTGGTGCTGATTAGTTGACTCCTCCTCTGTGCTTTGCCCTTCTGTAACCACACAGTCCCCAGGCAAACCTTGCAGTCCTCCTATGGTGAGTATTTCTAGTACCCTCTTACCAGCTCCCATTTTCAAAGTGCCAACAGGAACTGTACACTAACCCACTTTCCTGTCACAGTTGCCTATGTGGCCCCATCTTGAAAGTCAACAAAGTTCGTTCACACTTGCAGAGCAGGATCAGAAAGCACAGGGTTTTTTTTTTTTTTTTTTTTTTTAGCCTTAATACAATCATTCAGAGTGTGTTCCTGAAAGTTCTGAGTCCAGAGACTTACGAAAGACTACATTTAAGTCTTCAGGTTTAGAACTGCTATTCTTTAAGTACATTGCATTAAAAAAAAAAAACCTCGATATGACATCTATATACTTTGGTGAACTCATAAAATGAGGATAGGGCATGGCGGCACACACCTTTAATCCCAGCTCTTGGGAGGCAGAGCTCACTTTTGTGAGTTCCCAGGCCAGCCTTGTCTACCCAGTGATTCCAGGCAGCCAGGGCTACAAAGTGAGACCCTGTCTTTAAAAACAAAAGCAAAACAAAATGGGACAAAATCCTCATGAAGTCATATTTAAGGAACAATATCTTTGCTCATCACTATACAGCCACTTAATTGTCCTGTAATCTATTAGAGATTAAACAGTTTAATAAATTATATATTTTTCTCTAGCAGTCTATTAAATATTCATTTAAAAATGAGATGCCTTTGCAATAACACCTTTGATGCATGTTTCCATCTGCATTTATATTCCTAAACCAAAAGGCATGTAATATAATAAATATTTCATTTGCTGAAGAACTAATTGTTGAACAACAATTACTCACAGGTTATGGAGTAATGCAAAGAATGAGAAAAATGTTGCCTTTAAGGAAAAGTTGTGAATTTTAAGTCTAGCTACATATAGCCAGTTCACAGGAATTTTTGCCATGTGCAAAGACTAAGCAGCCTTCCTGTTCACCTTGCTTTTTACATGAGGGGAAAAGCTAAAGAAAATTATTTTCTAAAATCCAGCCTCTGATTCATGACTCATAGTTGTTTGTAATATACTTATTTTTGTTTAGCTGAGTTATAAATTTAATATAATTTATATTTAATAAATAATTATGTACTAAAACATCTTCATTTCTCATAAATTATATTAAGTACAGTTTTTATAAATAAGTCAAAGACAGAGGTAAGGTTTGGAAACTAGCACTTCTGAAGAGAGTTCCTTGGGATATGCCATTGTGAATTTCACTCAAGTGAACACTTTAAATGAGTCACAATACTTAATCAGTATTAGAAGTAGTGTGTACATTGTGGATTATTGAAGTTACTGTAGGTAAAAATCAACTAATAATATCAAAAATGTTGCTTATATGAATAATGTCAAGGGAAATTTTAGCCATCTTACAGAGAACGAGAGAAGTGAGTTAGGTGAAAAAATTGACCAAGTTTTATAAGCATTTCTCAGGGTATCAATATAGTAAGTATACTGTGTTCATCTGAAATCATCAGTGTGGGCACAGGAAGCTTATTTCTCCACAGCTGTGGAGACTCCTGTGACTGTGGCAGGAAGCGAGCAGATCTTCTGTGGCCCTGTCAGAATTTAAAGATTATTGAGTAAAGTAATTTCTAGTGGTGTAATCTCATTGGGCAGTGGGAATGACATTCCTAATAGTAGACTATGCATTTTATAGGAATGATTATGAAGAGCTAGCCCGTCAGTGCAAAATGTTTGCTAAAGATTTGCTTGCACAAGCCCGGAATTCACGTGAACTGGAAGTTATACTAAACCATACATCTAGTGATGAGCCTCTTGACAAACGGGGACTACTAGAAGAAAGAATGAATTTAAGTCGTCTAAAACTTGCTATCAAATATAACCAAAAGGAGGTATGAAGGTTTCTGCGATATATCTAAATTATTTTCTTTACCTTTATTTTGTTTATTGTTTGGTTCTCAAATAAAATAAAAAAGTTGTAACAATATAGAACACATTCATAACTCAACAATGTATATACAACTTGAAGGAAGGGCCATGCTAGCATCTGAAAATAGAAGTAGATACTGTTTGTAGGGTGGTCCCTTGGAACTCTGGGGTGTGACCATTAGCCGGGACCATGAATAGCATGGTCTCAGATGGGTGCTCAGAAAGTGGAGCTCCTGAGAACTCAAAACTGAAACCTGAGAAGAGCACGGTGATTACAGTAGGCAGTGAGGCCATGGGCCAAGAAGCAGCTAAGGGCTGACTGGTGTGTTTTCGTGTGTCTGTGTTTCTTGAGCTGTGTTCTGGCTGCTGCTAAAAGTGGTTTGGGAAGAAAGACTTTCATTCCCAGGCATCTCACTGGAATCCAACAGAAAAATGGGGGATGAAGTAAGGGACTGCAGGGACAGCTGAGTGGTTAGGAACATAGCCTAGCGGACCGAGGTTCATCTTCCAGCACCCAAATGGCTGCTCACAACTGTCTCTAACTCCAGGTTCAGGGTGTCCAGTGCACTCTTCTGGTCTCTGTGGGCACCAAGCACACACTGGTACATAGACATACATGCAAGCAAAGTGTTTATACACATAAAAAATTAAAGAATGACATAAATCATTGCTAAAATGAGTATAGTTATATTAGAAAAATTCTTGATAAGCATGATAGGATGCTGTGCAGTTGTTTTTTTTATTGCAGGCTAAAATTCTGTGAATTAGATTCCTGAACTATCAAGATAAATCTTTTTTTTTTTGTTTTTGCTTTTCAAGACAGGGTTTCTCTGTATATCCCTGACTGTCCTGGAACTTGCTCTGTAGACCAAGCTGACCTTGAAATTCAGATATTCACCTGCCTCTATCTCCTGAGTGCTGGAATTAAAGGCGTGTGCCACCAAAATCTTTTAAAAATATAATATTCACAAAATGCTATTTTACATTACTTGAATAATATGATTATACTTTAGTAATATGAAATCTGATTATGTTATATTAGAAAATGTTGCCATTTAAATTTGTAAGCTAAGAAACTCTGTGTAACTTGTACAAATTAACTTCTGTACTTGAACTAGCATTTTGCTCTTATTTGAGATTTTCTTCTCACGTGAAATTCAACATTAGCCAAGTTTAAGAGTATCTTATTTTTAAGGGGCTGGAGTAGTGGCTCAGTGATTTAGAGCACTTGTTGCTGAGGACACCTGGTTCAATTCCCAAAACCCACATGGTGGTTCACAAACATCTGATGCATTGTTCTTACCTCTGTGAATACCATGTATGTAATGGTGCACATACATATGTGTAGGTAAAACAGACATACACATAAATAAAGCTGAAAAATGGTTTTTAAGAGAGTATTTTTAGTGGCTCAGGCCTGTAATCCCAGCTGCTGAGGCAGGAAGATCACAAGCCAAGAGCCAGCCTGGTCTGAGGGCGCAGCTGCAGCTGAGTGGTAGAGCTTGTCTACCACGTGCAAGGCCTAGCTTCAGTCCTCAGCACTACAGTCAGTGTCTCTGACGTAGTTTAAGTTCCTCCCAGGACTTTCATGAAGTGTGCAGAGATCTAATACATGGACCACTCTTTGTCATGCCATCTGAGGTTCTCACAACCCAGAAGCTGAAGCCAACACTTTCTCAAAGATTAGTTAGTGCTGTCTCTGTGGACTTCATAGTAACATATACATACTGTTTGTCTTTGTACTGGTTTGTAAAGGCTCTTGATAGTCTTTAAATGTGATCAGCTCAATGCAGTAGGTTGCTAATATTTTTGATCCCTAAAATGGCATTGCGCTGTGAATAAGGTGGTATACTAAGAATTTGATGCTTAATCTTCACTAGTTTATGAGGAGCTACTATTGCTATCCAGATATTAGAGATGAGGACTGGGAAGCTTAGAGAGCTTGAAAACTTACTCATAGTTATCTAGTCTGTGTTAGAGTTTGAATTCGAACTGTGTAATGGGGCTCCATAGTCTATGCTATGAGCCTCTATACTCTTAGTTATAAAAGGAAAAGGACATATTACAGTATGTAAGGTATTTTCATCTCATGTTAAGACTGAATATCATCCAGTTACTATTTAAAGGTTTTATTTCCCTTTTTTGTTTTTTATGTTTCTGTATGTCCTTTTCAGTTTGTCTCCCAGTCAAATTGCCAGCAGTTCCTGAACACCGTTTGGTTTGGACAGATGTCAGGTTACCGCCGTAAGCCCACCTGTAAGAAGATAATGACTGTTTTGACAGTTGGCATCTTCTGGCCAGTTTTGTCTCTATGTTATTTGATAGCTCCCAAATCTCAATTTGGCAGAATCATTCACACACCTTTTATGAAATTTATTATTCATGGAGCATCATATTTCACATTCTTGCTGTTACTAAATCTGTACTCACTAGTCTACAATGAAGACAAGAAAAATACAATGGGCCCAGCCCTTGAGAGAATAGACTACCTTCTCATACTATGGATTATTGGTAAGTGTCAAGTGACTTTGAAAGATTTGCCTTGTTATTTAATATTCCTTGCTTTGTGACATTATGAACATGGAGTTCAATTTGCAATTTTGTCTTTTGTCACAGGTAAAATATGAACATTTATTTATTTATTTCATGATCATTTATCTAATACTTTTTCTTTTTCAAGACAGGGTTTCTCTGAGCTTTTCCTGGAACTAGCTCTTGTAGACCAGGCTGGCCTTGAACTCACAGAGATGCGCCTGCCTCTACCTGCTGAGTGCTGAGATTAAAGGTGTGTGCCACCACCACCCAGTTTATCTCATACTATTATGAAGGTTAATGTTCCTGATTTTATAACTTTGTATTCCTTAAATACATGAAATTTAAAACTACTTGGATTTGTTTACCTTCCTGCTTAAGAAGCTTCTCTACCTGGTGGAATTTTTCAATTTCCTCTTACACAGTAGTGTACTTGTGTAAATAGAGGCTAGCAATAAACCCTGGGTATTTTTCCTTAGGAATATCCACCTTATTTCTCACTGAGGGGTAGGACTTGGTGATTAGACCATGCTGGCTGGTCAGCAGGCCCTTGTGATCCTCCTGTTTCTGCTGTTGGTATTACATGTGTATGCTGCCATACCTGGCTTTGTGTGAGTGCTAGGACTCTAACTCAAATCATCATGCTTACACATAACTGAGCTTTGCAGCTTGTAGGTTAGAAGTTTATTTTTAAAAATTGTATTTATGTGTACATGTATGCATGTACATGCACAGGTGCCAAAAGTCACAGTTGGATGAATGTGTTGCTCAGTTGTTCTCCACCTTGTTTTTTGAGACAGGTCGCTCACAGAACCTGGATTTCACCAATGTGGACAAGCTGGCTCTAGGGATCTGCCCGTCTTGGCCTCCACAGCACTAGGGTTACTGGTGTATGCTGATGCACTTGGCTTTTTATGTCTGTGCTGGCGATCTGAACTCACTTCCCCAATCTTGCATGGCAAGCAATTTGTCCTTAGCCCTAAAAATCATTTATTCTTGGACTATGTTAATGATTATTAAGCAGAAAGTATAATTTTTTATGAGTGAATGCTCTTTTGTATATGGCATATATTTTTTTAGGTATCTTAAAACTTAAATTTCACTTTCAGACATCTTAACAACTATTTTGTTTCATTGTATCAGTGGTTTTATTACTAAGAATTTACCAAGTTTTGTAGTTATAATTCACTTTATATTATAAAGTTGTTGTTTACATTGAGATTAAAAGAGCTCCCTTGTGACTCAGTCTGTAGGTCAGTTATTTGTCATGGAAATATAAGCTCTGAAGAAATGATAAGAGTTAGCCCTGCTTGGTGCGGTGCATGGCCTTTAATCCCATCACTCGGGAGGCAGAGGCAGGCAGATCCCATGAGTTCGAGGCCAGCCTCGTCTACAAAGTGAGTTGCAGCGCAATCTCCAAAAGCGACAGAGAAAGCCTGTCATGAAAAACAAAAAAACAAAAAACAAACAAAAAAGGAAATGATAAGAGTTTGAAATAATAAATGTTTTTATTTTCTAAAAGACATTTTATGAGTTTTACATATTTAATAAATGTTTACATGACATTCTTCAGGGATTAACTGTCCTGGACCTTGTTGTTTTGGTGGAAAAGTAAGGGATTGTGTAGATCCTTATTGCTTATTTGTGGTCTTTTAGAGAATTCCTTTATTTTTTTTTTCTTTCAAATTTTAAAAGCTTTTCACTAAAAGGCTCTTCTTCTCCCTCCTGCCCCCTAGCTCTAGTGCCTTTGTAATACAGCTATAGTTAACCCAAGTGTTATAAACACTTGCTCTTCAAGTATTATTTAGTTTATTATTGAATTAACGAATCTGCTGTTTTACTGTTTTAGGGATGATCTGGTCGGACATTAAGAGACTCTGGTATGAAGGGCTGGAAGACTTTTTAGAAGAGTCGCGTAATCAGCTCAGCTTTGTCATGAATTCCCTCTACTTGGCAACCTTTGCCCTCAAAGTGGTGGCTCACAACAAGGTGACTGTTCACTGTCAATCAAAGATACAGACATTTATTTAAAGGACTAATATACTTAGCTATGTAACTCAGAGTTACTAGAAACCCAAATCTGTGTCTGGTGTGTTTTCATTTTAAAGCAATCTGTGTGGATCTAGTTGCTTACTTTTTCAGTAGTTTGAGTGGTTTACCTTTTCAGTGATGGTTACCTGCTATATGTTGGGTCCTATGGTTGGTGTTAGATGTACTGCATTTAATTTAATCCTCACAATTGATGGTTACCTACATATGCTAGATTCTGTGGTCGATGTTAGATATACTGTATCTAATTACATTCTCACAGGAATTCTTTAAGATTCTCCTTATCCTCATTTTGCAAATAAAAAAATGACTTAGAGATATTAGGCAACATACCTAAGATTATGGTGTTTTTTAAAAGGTGATTTAAATACAGATGCCAGGTATTTGCTTTCTACCAAGTGTCTTATTTCTTCATTTAGCTCATTACCATATATACTTAAGACCTCTTCTAATTTTACACTCATCAATATTTATGGTTTCTCAGAGCCAGAAAATGTAATAAACTCTATGTTAGCTATGGGGTGTCACATTTAAGGGACTAAGATATATAACATTTCATGATTTTATTTTGGCTATTTATAGATTATAGAAAGAGCAAAGTGATTCTTACCGGCTTATTTAACATCTGTTTCCTAACATGTTGGTCGGAGAGAGATTCAATGACTGAAGTGAGAAGTTTCTAAAAACAATCAAAATTGGTCATATGTAAATGAATGGCCTGATAGTTGGGTCACATTCATTTTTCAGACTAAGTTCTTTAGTTCTAGAAGTAGTTTTCTAATCCAAACAGGACACATTGAGAGTGGAAGGATGCGTGGCTAACAGTCCCACAGAACAGCTGGGACAGGGAGATGCCCCATGTCTAGCTATAACAATGCATTTTTCTACTTGAAAGAGGGGCAACTTTTGTGGTTTGCTCTAAATTCCTGAGTCAAATGTCTAGGTTTAGTATGGCATCTGATTAACTGACAGCATCCATTCTCACAATTTGTGTTATAAAATTTAAGGAAACCTGCCAATATTTCACTCATAAAAAGTGTAATAATAAGTGTTTTTTGTTTTATTTTGCTTTTTTAAAAAAAATTATTTATTTTATGTGCTTTATCTGCAGTGTGCCTTTTTGCCAGAAGAGGGCATTAGATTCCACTATAGATGATTGTGAATCACCATGTGGTTGCTGGAAATTGAACTCAGGACCTCTGGAAGAGCAGCCAGTGCTCTTAACCACTGAGCTATATATCTCTAGCCCCTAATGATAAGTTTTATGACCTGTTGTGGTTTTTTTTTTTAACAAAAGAATTTCTGGTAAATTTCTGCATATAAAGTGCTATTTCCTAGTATACGTGGAAAGCTTTTATTTGGCTAAAACATTATTTAAGTCTCCTACAAGAAGACAGTTATGATAGTTTTCTTTCAGACATTTCATATGTCTCTTCATTTTCCTGATTGACTTTGGCTTCTCTTTCTGCCTACAGTTTCATGACTTTGCTGACCGGAAGGACTGGGATGCATTCCACCCTACACTTGTAGCAGAAGGGCTTTTTGCATTTGCAAACGTTTTGAGTTACCTTCGGCTCTTTTTTATGTATACAACAAGCTCGATTTTGGGTCCACTGCAGGTAAATAAAGGTCTTAAATAATGTTTGTTACATATCACTACTATTGCATCTGATTATTCACTTCAACACTGTTCTCATGATGTTAAAACTACACTTGGGATTTGAAAATGACTAGCAAGTACTTTGCTTCTGGCTCATAAGTAATTTTCTTTCAAGAATTGAAACTTTATCAAGCTGTGGTCCAATGGCCTTTGGTTCAATCAAGCTCTGGTCCTTTCTTCATTTGCTGGCCATAGATATCCTTAAAATAATTGTTATGCTTCACAGAAAGGAGTAACAAGTTGGGTGATGATGGCACATGCCTTTAATCTCAGCAGTCAAAGAGGCAGAGGCAGACAGATCTCTGTGAGTTCAAGGCCAGCTTGGTCTACAAAGTGGGTTCCAGGACAGCTAGGGCTGTTACACAAAGAAACCCTGTCTCAACCCCCACTCCCCAAAAAAAGGAGCATCAAAAAAGTCTGTTTCTTTTACCAAAATAAAGTTCATATTTTAACTTTGAAAGATAGTTGACTTTTAATAAAAAAAAAATACTATCTATATGATTTTAATACATAGATATGTACATGTGGATTGAATAGCAATATGAACATAAAGACCAGGCTGGAAGAATGGAAATCCACTATTGTAAGGCTTTCTTTCAACTGTATACAAAGTGATATGATATCACTTAAAACTAGGCTGTGATAAGATGGGTGTCATAAACCCTAAGGCAATCTATGAAATAAAGCAGGTAGAGTTAATAAATCAACAGAGGACATGAAATGACATTTAAAATTATCAAAATAAGACAGTAAAAGAGAAAAAAGGAAAAAAGTCAAGATGAATTAAAGAGGAAGAAATAACGATAGATGTAAATAGTTCAGTGCCGCCACAGCCAGGTCTGTCACAGCTGTGCCGCATGGCCTAGTACCAATTTCTGTCTTAGTTAAGGTTTATTGTTCTTTGGGTTTTTTTTCTCTTTCTCTCTCTGATAAACACCATGACCCAAAGGAACTTGTAAAGGAAAGGGAATATTTAAGCTTAAAGTTCTACATTAAGGTCCATCATTGAAGAAAGTCAAAGCAGGAAGTCAAGGCAGAAACTTTGGAGCAGGAACTGAGGCAGAAGCCATTGGAGAATGTTAGTTCCTGATTTGTTCCTCATAAATTATTTTTTTTTGTATGCCAAAGATAAATCCTAGTTGGGACATGTATGTGCTTTTTTCATGTACTATTGAGTTTGGTTTGATAGTATTTGGGTAAAGACATTTTTCTTTTATAAATTTTATTACATTTGTTTTTTTTAATATTTTGGTGTATGGGTACTGTCTTAGTCAGTGTTTTATTGTCGTAAAGAGACACCATGACCAAGGCAACACTTATAAAAGAAAACATTTAATTAGGGGCTTGCTTACAGTGTCAGAGGGTTAGTCCATTATCAACATAGTGGGGAACATGACAACACACAAGTAGACATGACCCTGGAGCTGAGAGCTTTACATTTTGATCCACAGGCAGTAGGAACAGGGAGGGGGAGTAGGGAGAAGGCTATGAGGAGGTGGAGAGGGAGAAAGACAAGACACAGAGACAGAGACAGAGAGACAGAGACTGGGCCTGACGTGGGCTTTTGAAGGCTCAAAGCCCACTCCCAGTGATAGACCTCCAACAAGGCCTTACCTTCTAATCCATTCAAGCCGTTCCACTCTCAGTGGCCAAGCATTCAAATATGTAAGACTATGGGTGCTATTTTTATTCAGATCACCATATATGTGCATGTTCCATAGCATGTGAGTTCTACAGACCTAACTCAATTGTCTGACCAGGCAGCATGTGCCTTTATCTGCTGAGCCAGCTTACTGGCCCTTATTTTGGTAAAGCATTTTATACATTTATTGCAGGGATATTTAAGCCTATATCACTATTTTCTTATAGTCTTTGTCTGCAGTTGGCATCAGGGTGATATAAATGATATTTTTATCATTGGCCTTATAAAATGAATTAAACATTTTCCAAATTCTTCACAATGGATTTGTATTAAATTTTAGAAAACATTTCATAGTTTTTCACTGAAGTCATCTGATCCTTGTTAAGAGATTTTTATTATTGATTTAGTTTTTTCAGTGGTTATAGATCTATCCAGACTGTCTCTATCTTCATGACTTATTATTGAGGTTGTATATATCTAGGAATTTGTCTATTGGACTAACCAATTTGTTGTTCATAGTAGTATCTTATGATCACCCCATTTGCTCTCTCTCTCTCTGTCTGTCATTCTCTTACTCTTTGCCTCTTTCTTTTTTCAGTTAAAATTTATGTATGTGTTCATTTGTACGTACACATATGTATGGAGGTCTGAGGTTGATTTCACATGTCTCTCTTGATTGCCCTCCACCTTATTTTTTTAAAACAGGGTTTCTCAGTGAAGTTGATGCGCATTGACTGCCTGTATTGTGTGGCCAGTGAGCTCTGGAATCTGTCTATCTCCTTTTTCTTCCTTGCAAATGACCACACTTGGCATTTTTGCATGGTTACTGAGGATCCTCATGCTTGTGTAGGAGGCATATTATTGGTGACCCATGTCCCCAGCCCACTTTTCTCTCTCTTAGGTGTTGACGGAGGTTTCTGTCCCACCCCGTCCCACAGCTGTTCATTCCCAAAGAAACACGCAGAGGTCTGCATTAATCATAAACTGGTTGGTATATTAGCTCAGGCTTCTTAACTCTTATAACTTATATTAGCCCATAATTCTGGTTTGTGTTAGCCACGTGACTTGGTACCTTTTGCAGCGAGGCATTTCATCTTGCTTCCTCTACATATGGATGATGGCTGCAGACTGAATCTTTTCTCTTCCCAGAATTCTCCTGTTCTCATTGCCTCACCTCTACTTCCTGCCTGGTTGTCCTGCCTATACTTCCTCCCTGGCTACTGGCCAATCAGCATTTTATTAAACAAGTACAAGAAACAAACTTTTACAGTCCCTGGGCTCTGTGATCCTACTGCCTCAACCTCTGGTGCCAGAGAGCAGATGCGCTCCACCACACCCAGCTTTATTTCTATTGTTCTGACAGCCAAGAGTGTTTTTCCTCAGTCTATACTAAAATGAACTCTTTTGTAAACCTCTGTATTGATAGTTTAATTTCCTTTTTTGTTTCTTTACACTTTCATTTTTGTGATAATAACATATTTACAAAATGTCATAATGCTTATGACCTTTCCGTCCTCAAGCTGTTTACCTATCACATGCATGTTTAGTATTCCAGACAGGGCCTACTACTGTGATATCCACTGTACTCTTTTTAGTTCTGTATTATAGGAACTAACGTCAGTTTCTGGTGTTCTCCCACTGTAGTAGCTCACCTTACTATTCAAGTTGGTTACACTTATTTTTTAATTAGTTGTCTTAAGTTTTTTAAAAATTAAGATTATGTCACTGTAAGTAGTTACTTAAAAAACTCTATTTATAAATAAGTGAATAGTGCCAGATATTTTTTCAAAGGTCATTTTTCCTGAAGTTGTCAAAAGCAATTACTTTATTATTGCCTTAGCACATTTCCTGCTGACTTAGGTGTAGGATGAATTCTAATTGGTCTTAATAATAAAAACTCGGAGTCAGCTACCAGGGGTGAAAGCTGAAGGATTATGAAGCAGAGTGACCAGCCCACTTGAGAATTCTTACCTCTGCCAGTGCTCAGACCACAGGGCTGATCCTGTCCTCAGACTGACTGCTCCTCAGGCTGCACTGCTCTCCTGTCTCCACCCCCCACCCCGCCTTATATTCCTCTCTCCACCCAGCCATATTACTCCTGTCTCCACCTCTCTAGTGCTGGGATTAAAGTCTGGGATTCCGAGTGCTGGGATCACTTTTGTGTGATCTGTTTCTCTTTTAGACAGATTCAATCTTGTGTAGCCCAGGGTGGCCTTAAACTAACAGAGATCCATCTGTCCCCTGAGTCCTGAGATTAAAGGTGTGTGTCACTACTGCCTGGCTGCAAGTGGCTTAGCTTTGCATTCTAATCTTCAGGCTAGCTTTATTTGTTAAAACACATACAAAATATCACTACACTTAGGTATGATTATATTATGAATATTCACAGTCTGAATGAATGGCTTTGTTTTCCTAAGTGACCTACTAGAATTACTTCTAGTGCATTAAATAGGAAAATACATTTCTTCTCTTTCTCATATATTTTGAGGCCAGTTTGGTCTACAGAACAAGGTCCAGGACAGCCAGTGCTTCCCAGAGAAACCCTGTCTCAAACACCAAACAATCAAAACACACACACACACACACACACACAAAAAACCCACAAATATTCCAATTTTTTTTTAAAAAATCAAGATTTGTTAAAGCTACCTAATCTTCAGACACTGGAGGAGTATTAAAGGAAATAAAATTTACCTTGAATAAAGCTGGATTTGTTGGTTTTGCTTCATTTTGTTTTCCTCCAGCTGGAGTTTTGATGTTCTTAACATACTGAAATATTTCAGCCAGGTGAAATAATGGATATGACTTGTGGCTCGTGTTAGTCTTCCTTTTGATCCTGGGTAATTTTATATTAAATAAATAGTTTTCCCAACAGTTTTAATGTACACCTTGTGATATGTCTACAGATTTCGATGGGACAGATGTTACAAGATTTTGGGAAATTTCTGGGGATGTTCCTTCTTGTTCTGTTTTCCTTCACAATTGGACTGACACAACTCTATGACAAGGGATACACTTCCAAAGAGCAGAAGGACTGTGTCGGCATCTTCTGTGAACAACAGAGCAACGACACCTTTCACTCGTGAGTAGCTTCACATCTTACTAGATGGACTTTCTGCTGCTGAGTTCTGTATGGGTTAGTCATTGCATGAATAGAGCTTAAATTGATCTTTTTTCTACCCTTTCTTCTGAGACAGGGTTTCTCTGTAGCTTTAGAGCCTGTCTTGGAACTAACTTTTGTAGACCAGACTAGACTCGAACTCACAGAGATCTGCTTGCTTCTGCCTCCTGAGTGCTGGGATTAAAGGTGTGTGCCACCAAAGCCTAGCTACTTAAACTGATCTTTAAAAAAAATCCTTTTTAAATGTCTGTAAGCTTTAACAAATGCTCATTTTTCATCATCTTTACCTATAGGACCTTCAATAGTAAATCCAAGTCATTGCATGTGTCTTCTCTACTGAAGTTTGTCTGAACAGAACTCTTGACAAATTTATATTCTTAGCACTTTGGGAAGTTTCTTTTATTCATCCCATATATTAGAATGCTCAGCATTTCTGCACCCAAACTCTTAAATACCTGTAGAAGCTATTGGTTGCTATCACAGCCCAGAGCATTCATGTTTTCAACACTTCATGAGAGGTCACTAGAATTCAGAATCCTTAGACCTTAAGGGCCAGTTCCCCAGTTGATCATAAAGAATGGTACAGCCACTATAAAGTAAACAGAATACTTCCCCTCAGGTTCCTTTTCCAGTGCTGGGGATCCAGGCCAGGGTTCTGTATGTGCTAAAAAGTGCTAACCACCAGAGAGCTGCATCCCCAGTCTTATTCTCCTCAGCCTTAAATAAAATACGGATGAGTATGTACTGCATATCTGTTGTGTTCATATTGTGTGCCACAATTCTTTAGGTACTTTGTATGTCTTCCCATTTGAAGAATAAAATTTCTGGGCTAACCAGGATAAACAGGTAATAGGGATGACCATATAGGACCTTGCTGTCTGATTTGGGGCTATTGCGATACAGTCATCTGAAGGTTGAAGCAAAGGACTGGATCTAACTAGATAACCTATGAACTGCTGCGTTGAGACTAGAAAGACAGCAAAAATAAATAGATAAATAAATAAAATAGGAATAATATTTTTGAGTGTGTTTTCTCATTTAAAATAAGACTGTAGGGGCTGGAAAGATGACTCAGTGGTTAAGAGCACCTACTGTTGTTGCAGAGGACCTGGGTTTCTACCTGATGGTTCACAACTATAACTTCAGTTCCAGGGGATCTGGTGTCTCTTCTGCCCTCTGTAACATCATGCATACATGTGATGCACATATATGCACTCAGGCACACACACATAAAACAGAAATAACATTTAAAAATGACTATATGTACTGTGAAAGTAAAAATAACACAACAAAATTATTTTATAATGCATTATGCAAAATTATTAATGGTTCATATGTATAATTTTGATATAAATGCATTATCTGTTCTTGCTAATTAATTCCTTTTTAAACAGACTATATTTGCCCTTTCAGGTTCATTGGCACCTGCTTTGCTTTGTTCTGGTACATTTTCTCCTTAGCACATGTGGCCATCTTTGTCACAAGGTTTAGCTATGGAGAAGAACTGCAGTCTTTTGTTGGAGCTGTGATTGTTGGAACTTACAATGTCGTGGTTGTGATCGTGCTTACGAAGCTGCTGGTAGCCATGCTTCATAAGAGCTTTCAGTTGATAGCAGTAAGTGCTCTCTCCAAATCACATGAAATGCATGAAATGAAATCACTGAAGATTATAGAATTACGGAATTAAATATAGACTTTAAAATTGCACATCTTTGGCCAATTTTTAATCTGTAAGGTGTGGTGACATTTAGACAGTTTTAATCAATATTTTCTCCAACCTGTCCATATGCGCTCATGTTTGTGTTTGTGTTCTTTTTTTAATCCTGCTTTTTCCTTGCCTCATAGAATCATGAGGATAAAGAATGGAAGTTTGCTCGAGCAAAGCTATGGCTTAGCTACTTTGATGACAAATGTACACTGCCCCCACCTTTCAACATTATTCCTTCACCAAAGACTATCTGCTATATGATCAGTAGCCTCAGTAAGTGGGTTTGCTCTCACACATCGAAAGGCAAGGTCAAGCGGCAAAACAGTTTAAAGGTGAGAAATTAGAAGCTTGAATTGCACCACAGTTTTACAATTGCTAATTTCACTTTTATTTTTTTCTTTGTTTTATTTTTTTGAGATGTAGTCTTACTGACTATATAGCCATGGGTGACATGGAACTTGCTATGTAAACCAGGCTGGCTTCAGATTTGCAGCAATCCTCCTGTCTGCCCACCATAGGCTGGGATGATGGGTATGTGCCACCATGCCCAGTTCAGGTGTTTGTTACAGGATACTTCATCACACTGTGACCCTGAGAGATTGCCTTATTTACTGGAAAAACCTGTTTCTAACTGTGGTATGGCTCAGACCTGGCACAAACCTTTAATCCAAGAGCATTCTGTTTAAATATTGTAAACAGGATTTAATATTTAACTATAGATCAGGAGGCTGAGCAAGTAGCCAGTTGACAGAAAGTGAAAATAGGATTATTAAGAAAAGACTATAGAGAGTAAGAGGGAGTCAGGAGGATAGATAGGGAGACACACAGAGAGTAGAAGGGAGGAACATCCAGTTAGAGAAATCTTGTTTGAGACAGAGGAGGAGAAGGTGGGAAGCCTCTGGGCTGTCAGCTGAGAAGGAAGGAAGGTCGTTTGAGTACTTTCTCTGCCTCTCTGAGCTAGCAGGTTTTCCACCTCAGCATCTGGCTCCTGAGTCTTCTTTCTTTGGTAAAATCAAACAATTGATATTTTGTTAAAAAAACAACTAAAACACAAATATGAAAGTTTGATAAGGGTCATCCTCACGTATTTTCCACTGTATCTCTAATGAATGCTGTATCTAATATAAAGATTCAATAAATAATTGAGAATAAGAAATAAAACTAAGGAATTTTGGATTGGTTTGGTTCTTTTCTTAGTTTTCAAATTTCCCTAACACATGAACTCTTATCCCATAGTATTTCACTATAGATTTAAAGAATAACTATTAGTTCATACCATTTTTAGGTCTTGAAAGTTACTCGGTGTATTTCTTATTTAGTACATGCTGCTTGTAAACCAAGGATTGTTAAGTTTCCTAAAGGACCAGAGAGTAAATATTTTACACTTTGTAAATCAAGCAAAACAAAACACCATCTAAGAAGTTATGTAAAATAAATTTTTTCCAAAAAACTTAAAGATGAAATAAAAATATAACAGCTAAGTAGCAGTCACTGTAAGAAGTTACTAGGGAAAACAGATTTCTCTGTGGTAGGGCTAAAATTTTGCTTAATTCAAATTAAAAATTGAGTTGTCCATTATAAAATTGATTGCAGAATTCATCTTTAAACTCATTCTTGACTCACAAGGAAAGAAAGACAGGAAGTGGGCTGTTGACTTAAGTGGTAGTTTGTGAATCTGTTGTAGACTGTTGACTTAGGTGGTAGTTTGTGAGTCTCTGTTGTAGACTGAGCATTACTGAGACTAAATTCTTTTCAATGAAATTGGACTAAAGGAGAGTGAATGGGGCCAGTACATAGGCTATATTGTTTTAAGCGTGTACTGATTATGATTTTTACCAAAGTAAACTGTCCTCTAAATGTGTTGAAAATGTGTATCTGTGAATATATTTAAAGTTTACCTCATTTAAATATTGTCTCTGGGGCTGGAGAATGGCTTGATTGTAGACATTTGCCTAGCATGTGTGTAGCCCTGAACTCACTCCTCAGTTCTGCAAATACATATGTATATATGAATGTGTATACATATTTTCTTACATATAAATGAATGTACTTACACACACTTTGTTATGCAGTCATTGTACCATGTGATTACTTGTTTTGAAGGAGTGGAGAAACTTGAAGCAAAAGAGAGACGAGAACTACCAGAAAGTGATGTGCTGCCTAGTGCATCGTTACCTGACATCTATGCGACAGAAGATGCAGAGCACAGACCAGGCCACTGTGGAGAATCTCAATGAACTGCGCCAAGATCTGTCAAAATTCCGAAATGAAATAAGGGATTTGCTTGGCTTTCGGACTTCTAAATATGCTATGTTTTATCCAAGAAATTAATCATTTTCTAATAACAAATCTGAAAGACTGTATTTGCATACCTTACAACTAAACTAATAAGATATATATGGACCTAAACAATTACACAAAAGCCATTCTTTAAATATTTATAGCATAAATATATGTCATGTAAAATATGTATATAGTTAGTTTTTTAAAACCTGTCTATGGCTTTTTGTAGAAGCAAAACACAATAAGTAAATGGTTTTGTTAGCATGCTATTGGATTTTCTTAGTTTGTCAGTGCTTAAAATTTGTAATGTTTGAGGGGCAGCTATCAGTGTACATATTGCCCACTCCCTTTTATAAAATGAATATCAGCAAATGCAGCTACCTTAAGAGACACTTGAAATGTAGAGTTCACAATGTTGAAAATCTCCTGTTTTAGGAATTCACACAGTATTTATTGTTTAAGAGTATAGTTTTGTCTAAAATACCACATTTTTTTCTTTCGCTATAATCTTAAGCAACAAAGAAAAGTCTCTAATGAATATCTGAATTTAAGTCAGGCATGGTGGCACACACCTTTAATCCCAGCACTCAGGAGGCAGAAACAGGCAGATCTTGGAGTTCAAGGCCAGCTTGGTCTACAGAGTAAGTTCTGGGACAACTGGGACTATACAGAAAAATCCTGTCTCAAAAAACAAACAAAAAATTAATTTATTTAGTTCAATCTAAATTCACCTTGTTTTTATTGTTTTGTTGTATTTTACTTTTACATGGTTACCATAATTTTATATTTTTAATTTTGTTTCTTTACTTAATATTTTATACATAGTTCTCTGTATTGAGATAGTTCATATATTTAAATATTTATAGAATTCTGTGATTTTTGAAAAAGAGTAGACATCTTTTAGCCATAGAATATTTGTTCATATTTATGCATTTGCAAAGTTACTTCTCTAGGCATTTGGTTAGTTTTAACTTTTCCTTCAAACTTTTCAGGCTTGAGTAAGTTACAAAGTATAAGCTGCTTGTCTTCATGTGTGGTCACAATGGGCAGGACTGGAGAGCATCTTGAAAAAAGCTGCTTCAAGTTCAGATGAAGGTTCTTGAGCTCTCTTCCGAAGTGTTGACCACAGATTTAACACAGCTTTTAGAAAAGTGACTTCATGCTTGCTGCTTGAGCTGTAAAGTATTGTTTTTTCAATTTGAAAATAAAAAGTGTATCTGACCTCTTTTCGGTGTTCATATGAGAGTATGGCTGAAGGGTCTCCCCAGCTGTTGCACAGACACTCCTGCAGCATGGCCAGTGAGGAATGCGCCTTTGTTTTCTTAGCTGAGTGTCAGCTGGTGTTGAGGGTGCACAGGGTGCATGCAGCCCTTGGCCTACCCAGAGGGGTGTCTGAGTAATCTAGTGTTCGGTTTCATGTTGCTTTACATGTTTTTGATGTTCAAGTTTAAGTGTTCCCTCTTTGGGGCAAATTCTTATAAAAATGTTTATTGTAAAATTATATATTTTGTCTACAATGGAATTATGCACTTCCCTATTGGGATTTTATATCAGGATTTTTAGTCATTCTAAAAAATACCTAATTATTAAAAAAATTTATAGAGTGCCTACTGTGTGCATGAATTACTGATGAGGTATATTTTGAATGACAGCATATTGTGAGAAAAAAGGTGAATAAAATTTGACATTAGATTATAAATTGATAGAGCATTAGCATTTTACTTATTATTGCTTGCTTTTTATTTTTTAGTTACTTTATTTTAAATATGTGAATATTTTGCCTGTGTGTGTATATTTGTTTACCATGCATGTGCTTGGTATTTACAGAAACCAGAAGAAGGTGTTGGATCCCTTATAATTAGAGTAACAGACATTTGTGAATTGCCGTGTGGCTGCTGGGAACTGAACTTAGGTCCTTTGGAAGAATGGCCAGTGCTCTTAACCACTGAGCCATCTCTCTAACCTCTCATCTGCTTTTTAAGTTTGAGATACAGGGATAGCAAGACAGCTCAGTGGGGAAAGATGCTTACCTGATGACCCGAGTTCAACCCCCGCCACCCACGTAGAGGAGAGGCTCCCACAAGTTGTCTCCTTACATCCACATGCGTCTGTGTCACACAGCATCCACACTCATACATACACATAAGAAAAATTTTAATTGAGATATAATTCATATACATCTATAAAATTTAGTACTTTTTAAACGTATGGCCACAAAGGTCTAAAATGCAAAATACCAATATCAGACAATTAGTAACACTTCCCACTTCCATAGCTATTACACTTAACTGTTAGCTTCTTAGCCCTTTCCTAGTATAGCATATTTTAAATTAATATATCCACATCACAAAGATGTGCATGTGATCATTCAAGAGAACTTTCTTCATTGTCTCTGAAAGCCTCTCAACTAGTGAATGGGTAACTAAATTGTATGTTTACATAGTATAAATCTAGGATTAAAAGAATGTGTCCACGTTCAGGCAGAGTTACAAGCATGTCGGTCGTGTGTGCACGCACACATATTTGCCTATCTGGGCTGACATTGCAGTTGTTAAATTGCTGGCCAGGTTCTGTTGTCTTTGTGTCCTGTGTTGAAGACCCTGAGGTAGCAGCTCAGAAGGAAAGGCAGACATAAAGAGAGCAAAGACACGCTGGCACCCATGAAGATGCCTGCAGCCGCATGCTGTCATGTCCTGTGGCAGTGCCCTGGCCTTTGGTCACTTGCCTTTGGAAGTGTGTTGATAACATGTATCAGGAATCATAGATGCTGAAGCAAAGAAAGGTGCTGCTGCCTCACATCATGGAGATGAATGAGTCCGCACACCATGTGAATTAGAAAAGTCCTGGCAGAAAGAACAAAAGAACTGCTGTGTCACTCCTAGGGGAATTCTGGAAAAGGAAATTAGTCCTCGGCAAGTTAACACATAAAGCCACCACAAATAGACTCGGGATAATTGGAATACATGGCTGAATCTTAAGAAGTGAAAAAAGCTACTTGAAAAGACTGTAGACAGCACACTCCACCATGTAGCATCAGACAAGAGAAAACGTTAGAAACTGACATCAAATCAGTGGCTCACAGGAGCTGCGAAAGAAAATCGACGGCACAACTCAGAAAAGTACACTTTTATTTAAATGGTGAATTCTAAGCTTTACCTGGTGGCACAGACCTATTATCCTAATGTTCAGGATGATGAGGCAGGAGGATCTTAGGGTTCTAAGCCAGCCTTGACAGCAGAGCGTGCAGCAGACTAGCCACAAGAACATGGTGAGCCCCTGCTTTGCAGTGCCAATTTTAGTGTGTTAGGATTATCCTTGTGTCAACCTGATGAAAAATAAATAGTGCTGTAGTGGATGAAAAGAGTTAAGAAAACAACAAAATCTTACAATTGGCTTCTGCAGGAGAACTAATCTGCTGTAGAGCAGGAAAGACTTGCTATTTGGATCCAGCGGCACGGCGGCAAGGAACACAGAGATAATCGCCACATGCGCAGTACTGGTCAAAACGAATTTTACTGTTAGGTGCTCTGCCTCTTCACACAAACTGGAACGGTCAGTTTCTAAACAAAAACCAAGGTGACATTCTGATTGGAATTACATCAAATCTAGACTAACTTGGAAAGAATTTGCATTTTAGCAGTCTTTCAGTCCACACATCTGTGTGTGTATTCAGGTCTTCTTAGCGGTATTTAGTGATTTCTAGCACTAGAATCCAGTGGGATTGCATTTTGATAAACACAAAGATCTATTGTTCATGTATTTGGGGAATTGTGTCCCTGTGGGGAGCACTAAGCAGGGCCTCCTGTCCTACAGTTCCAATGACAGACCCATTTGGCTCCTTCGGGTTCACCTTGGGAAAACTGAGTTTATTAGGCTTACTGACAACAATGGATGGGGTTACAGGCAGGAACATGAATGACCTCAAAGCTGGAAACTCTGCACTAAACATGGATGATGACTTCCCTATGATTGCATAGATGGAGCCCTTCTCCCTAGTCTTCCCAGCCTGTGTACTCTAGCCCTTCCCAGAGACCCTGAGGCCAAGTGCTGTTAGGGCAGAATTGCAGAAATCTGATTAGGAGTGGCTGGACCCTCAGATGAGAGTGACCCTCTCCAGTTCCTCCTATGAGGGAATGTCACCAGTCAACAAACCCAGTGTCTGCAACATTGCTGCTCCCATGAAGATCTGTATCTTGATCATAATTAGTAATTGGTTCAAATTTCTCTCAGATTACTATTATTCCTAAAAGTAGAGGCTGTAATTATTGATCATTAGAAGACACCTATAACCAATTGCTAATCATTGTTAGTCTGATAAAAAGGTAAATCTGGAAATGTTTTTATCTCATCTCTAATGGAGCTTCTGTTCTCTTTGTATACTTTAAAATCATCATTTTTAGGAGACATGGTTTCCAATGCATATTAAATTATAGGAACACAGGAAGTAAAACAGCAGGCTTATTTATAAGGATGTAAACATACTTTTATAAAAAGTGTCCTAGGCAATCAAAATTATGGACAAGCTCCATTCTCTTCATCCTGCAATTAGCAAACAATTCATTCTCTGCCTTCCTCCATCAGGAGTGTTATTTAAGGGGCCCATGAAATGGCTCAGCAGGCAAAAGCACTTGCTGACTGTTGACTTGAGTCAGATTCCAGAATCCACATAAAAGCTGGACCCAGCCACAGTGGTATGTGTCTGTAATCCCAGCATTCTTATGGTAAAATGGGAGAGACAGGGGACTTCCCCCAGAAGCTCACCCAGAATGGTTAGAGAAGAGGGACCCTGCTTCATCAACATTTCTTTCCTGTGCTGGGCTCTGCAAGCTACAATGACCATCTGCCAGGCAAGATCTAACAATGGCAAGACTACGGGAGGAACCTTGGTCACCAGCTGCAATGGGCAGTGATTAATGCAGAGATGCAGTACTGTTTAAAGTGCTGAGTGTAAGCAACTGCATGCTCATCCATAAATGCAACATTATCAGTTCCCAGCCCCCCACATACTCAGAGAATATTGTGGAAAGAAGGGCAGAAAGAATGTAAGATCCTAAGGATGGGGAAATGTTCTGGAAATGCTGTCCTCTGAACATGACATGGCTGTTCACTGATAAGTGAACTCAAAGCAGCTGTGGGAGCCTACATGAGGACCTGCGTAAGATCAAGACAGCATGGAGTGGGAATGGCTCATGGGGGTCCCACCCGACCTGAGGAACTACTGGACTGATGGCAGCTGGGGCTTGAAGCTCCCCCTACACCAGTGGGTGGTCCCACGACTGTGCATATAAGCAGCACCAAGCAGACTCACTGGGCTAAAAATACACACAAATTACAAAAGGAGGACATGAAGTTGGGAGGGAGGTGTGATGAGAATTTCCTGTTTGATGTGGATGTAAATAATACGGACACATTTCAAGACCATAAAGGATCTCAGAAAGGATTATCCTTGCTTGTCTCATTCTACACACACTGCAGTTCTTCTGGCCATACGCTGTGCATGGGAATCCAAGTAATCTCCCTTCTCATCTAGGAGGCTCTTCCTTGAATTATGTAACCATTGACATTATTTTTTTAGATGAGTCAGATATATAAAGCTTCATCTTGTAAATGATCCTAATAGGTTTTTATTCCTAAAATCTCTGTCTCCGAAATCTAATCAAGTCTCACTATCAG